AAAAAAAAAAAAAAAAAAAGCTGAAATGACAGTAACAAGTAGGCAACCACAGAAAAAGTGTCCCCTAATGTTAATCTTAGCTTTATGGTTTGGAAACAAAAACAAAGGGTGTATATATTCTTGAAAGTTTCTTTTAAAACAGAATAAGGATGTCTTGTCACCAGTTTTCTTTAACAACCTATTTCTACTGAAGCTGTAGCAAGTGCTATTGTGGAAGGAAAAGAAAGCATGTTAAGAAAATTACTGTATCAGTTGCAAACAACAGCACTGAAAATAAAGTTTAAAATGATGCCATATACAAGAACAGCATTTCTGTGGAGAATGTAACACTACTGAAATATACATTAAAATGAGACTAAACCAACTGGTACACCATGAGTGTTATTGGAAGCATTGATAATTGTAAAGAAGTAAGTCCTCTCATAGATCCAATTTAAAATCTATTTCCAGAAGGTTTTTGGAGGACAAGCTAATTTTAAAGATGCACTGATAAACAAAGGTCCAAGAATAAATATACTCATGAAGAAGACCAAATGCAGGACTTGCTCTGCCAGTGAACGAGACTATTGTTTCTTTTAAGTAAGAATATAGGGACAAATGAGATATACTGTAGATGCAAACATAAACAATAGTGGCATCGAATAGAGACCCCAGAAACAGAAATGGAAATGACAGATGATAAAAGGGGCATTATCGATTACTTGGCAAAGTACAGATTATTCAGCAAGTTATGCTAGGAAAATTTGTCATCCATATAGGAAAAAATGAAACTGGATCTTTACATTTTATGCAAAAACAAATTCTTAGCTATTTAAAGACTTAAGGCAAAGCTTTTAAATGATTAAAAAGTAAAGGACAATGATTTGTAGGTGCTGGAATTTTTTTTTTTTTCTTTTTAAAAACCACATAGAGTGAAAAATTTTAACTTAAAAACAATCTTTGTTAGGGGCTAGCAGGTAGCAGGTGGTGGTTAAGGCATTGGATTCCCACATGGTCAACTGTGGTTTGAGTCCCAGGCCTGGCAGCTTGAAAATCACGCCCAGTATGTGTGAGTGTGTGACCAAAATCCCAAGAGGAGAATGGAAGACAAGGGATTGCAGTGTGGTCATCCCCCCTGGGGAGTGATTTCTCATTTACCTTCTCTTGGTCTTTGGCAAATGCATGCACCCTACTACAAAACCAAACAGAAACAAAAAAAAAAAAATAGGGAATATAGATGCCTTAGAATGATACTTAGCACATAATTAAACACTGTGTTTATTATTTTCTAGCTCAGGTAATACATTGTTATTGGATAAGTCATTGCCTCCATTATTCCTTAAAAAAAATTTATTCCATGAGTGAGAAAGAGCACCCCAGCAGGGTCTCATTGCCATGCTCCACCCCTAGCCTTTCCTTAGCTAACTTAAATCATGTGTGCATACCTGCTTGGCATACCCAGGGAGGTCTCCAGCTGCAAACTAGCAACCTGCCCATGTAGTGGGTCTGCCTCACAGGGCATGACGTTTCACTGCTGTGCTATCATCAGCCCTGCCATTATCCCTTCTATTGCTGTAGTATATGGAATTCCCTCTACTTTGCCTGCCAAGTGAATTCATTTATTTTT